ATTTCCTTTCCTCAGCCAGAATACAGGGAAGCCGCAGTTTGAGACTAGGTCTAACATGGGCCGAGCCTCACGCCTTACCTCTCTCCACATCTGCGGCTCCAGGAAGGCATCAGGAAGAGGTTGCTCTCGGCAGGGCCCCCGCTGCTGCCGACGGCGCTGCCGCGTGCACAGAGCTCCATGCTCCCGGCCAGGCTCCAGCTTGGCTTTTTGGCTCCAGCTTTAGCCACACTTGTGGGGACACCACTGCTGGGGTCTCTAGTGCCTGTTTGGCACTTAGCTCCCCATGCCGCCCAGTGGGGTTTGCCAGCCCCTCTCCAGCTTCTCTGCCCTGGCACATGGGGACAAGCCCAGACCCTCAGCCCCCACAGCCATTCAGCGTCCCCTCACTGAGTGACCTTGCCATGGGCTGATGAGAGACTAGCCAGCACCCAGCAAGTCCAACACACCAGTTTCAATTTACCTGTGTCACTTTGGCTAGGGAAGCATCACAGTCAGCCAGGCTACATCTCACGATTCAACCCTAGAACCAGCTTTTGGCCACTGCAGGCCACAGGGCCCTGGGCCAGATGGAGCTGGGGTTTGACACACAGACCTCATGCTGACACTGAGGGCACAGTGTCTTTCCTGGATCGTGTCTCCTCCATCACTTTCCTGGTCAGCACAGCAAGGCATAAGGTGCTGGTGACAAATTAAGCTAGGACACTGCGGTGACACTAGAAGGGACAAGGAGGATCCAGGCTGCCTCTTGAAAGAGAAGAGGAGCAGCTTTTGGGCCAATTCCCAGCTGCCCTCCCCATGCTGGGCTTAGGTTTCCAATACGCGCATTTCTGCTGACGTCTGTGCCGCAGCTAATGGCCAGCTCAGGATCCATTAGGTTCACAGTGTCCTGCTCTCCGGATGCGCACCAGGAATCGATAGCCGCTCACCCCCTGCCTGTTTCCCAAGATAATCCTTCCTTCCTTCCAGTGCTACAGGTGTGGGGCAGGCAGCAGTTCTTGGGCTCAGGGCTGGAGAGGGGCTTGTTTGCAATGACACAGATAGGAGCAGGAGCTCCTGACTGCTGGCCACGCTGCTGCCTCTCAGCTCTGAGCGGGACAAGGGGGCTGCATCCCAGCATGCCTGACCAGCTGTAGTCCCTGCTATGGAATTCTGCTTGCGGAATCTGCCTCAGCTCGTGCAAAACACCGAGCTAACCACAGCGAGAGGGAGGCAGAGCAACTCCAGGCACCTGGGATCACTGCTCTGCTTGGAAAAGCCCATGAGAGGCCACAACACCATCTTCCCTGCCAACTCTGTGAGGATGCCAGGGGCCCTGGCTACGAGCCAGGCCCCCAGGTGCCCAAGCTGCTTTGTCACACTAGAAAAGCTCATCAGTGTTTTTGGCTGAACGGTTAGTGATTGAAAACTGCAGTTTCCAGACAGTCCCAGAGCTATTTGCTGCTTCAGGACAGGTTTGAGAGGAAAAAAAAAAAAAGTCTCTTTGCTTTCTGAGTTAAAAAGTCTCGTTTTGCATTGTTTTGTTTGAAATAAAAGATAAAAGGTGCCTTAAACTCCATCCCACCCCCATTTTTGGGCACAATACAAAACAACTGTTTGTTCAGCTCTGCTCTCCAGAGAGGCTGTGAGCACCACACAGCAAAGGGATGCAGGAACTGTGCCCAAGCAGCAGCACTGGGGATTGTGTTGATGTTTCAGGTACCGGCGGCTCTTTCCAGGGCTCTGCTCAAGCTCTGCAGAGGCCAGCGAGCACTGCCGAGGCAGCGAGGCCTGTGCAAGAGACAGCAGCTGTGGCACCGGTGGGGAGCCTGCCCATCCTCACGGGCAGCAATTTAGAGTCACAGCCGAGAGGTCACAGCCACTGGCTAAAGGACACACACGGTGCCAGCCTTTCCACATGAGCCCCCCAGCTCAGGGCCTGCAGCAATCGGCCCAGGTGCTGTCTCCAGCAATACTCCTCTGGCAGCTCAACAGCACAGGGGACCCTAGCCCTCACAGGGGGCAGAGCAGGAGGAGGGCAATTTGGAGGGCAACCCTGCGTGCAAGGGGCAGAGCAGGAGCGGGGCAACCCTGCGTGCTCAGCAGGAGCGTGCACAGAGTTCACGGGCACCCCTGGCCCCTTGGCCAAGGGCTGGCTCTGCCCAGGGGCTGTGTCCAGGCGGCCGCTCCGTGCCCAGAGCTATTCCTGGCACTGATGCCCCGGCGCCAAGCAAGGCTGGAAGTGGAGCACGGCCAGGGAGAACAGAACAAGGGCACTATAAATAGCAAACGCACTGCTCTGCTCGGGGGTGGCTCAGCCCTTCCCCGAGGGCGCTGCTTAAACCAGACAAGCAGCCCAGAACGGCGCTGTCATCCATCCGCTCAGGGCACGCCGGGCGTTTCATGGAGCTGCAGTGATAGATACCTGAGCTGCGGCGAGGCTCATGCTTTGCAGGCAGGCTCTGAGCACGCAGTGGAGGATCGGCCGCTGCGCAGGCCAAGAGGCTGCAGACTTATCCACAGGAGGGGTAAAAAGTGTTTTGCAGGCAATGGAAAGAGAGGTAATGACTAACAGGGCCAAAGGAGGGTGGTGGATTCCTGGAGGGAGGCACTTCCCTAAGCCAGGGGAGAAAGGAGAATGCTCCCAGCACAAAAACTCCACGTGACCCATTCTCAGCACTCTTTCCAGTCTCATCCTGCTATTTGGCACATCCCCACCCTTGAAGCTTCACACACCACTGAGCTAAATCCTGAACTCTGACACCAAAGGACAAAGGCAAGGAAGAAAGGCCATATCTGGCTCACCCAAGCCAGGACAAACCTCCAATCTTTGGCAGTCCCCAACCAAGAGCAGGCGGGAGGCGTAAGAGCTCAGCCTACCTGTGACTACCTGTGACTGCCAGCAGCGAGTGTCCCTCCTGCCCCAGGAGGGGTCCTGCCCTTTTCCCCACACCTCTGTGCTCATTACTGCTATGCTGCTGGTGCCTCTCTGGAATAGAAAGTATTTTGTTTTCTCCTTCATACTGGTAGCACGTGTCTTATAAGGGGATCTCAACCTCTGCAGAGGAGAGCAGCTCGTGTGAAGCTCCATCCTCAAGCATCATTCCCAGATACTGACTCCTCCTGCTTTCAAGAGGAAGCCATGACCTTTCAGCAACACAAGGAGTGCCAGCTGGAGTTCATTTGGGCATACCCTGGGGATCAGGATGCAGCACCAAATCAGGAACTGAGGGAGAGATGTATATACACAGGGAAAGCCAAACTGAATTGTCCAGCAGAGAAACCACTGGTGGATGAACAGCAAGCAGAAAGAAAGAAGGAAAAAAAAAAAAAAAAAAAAAAAAAAACCTAAACACCCTTGATACATTGCTCCTGGAATAGCAAAAATAATTGGGGCAGGAGAAGTGCTGGCTACAAACCCACCCAGAAAGTTTCAGCATCTCATCTCATTCACCTCCTCCCCAAGGCTGTCCGTCTCCCTTCCTCCTCTGCACAGCAGGCGAGGAGAGGATGGAGGTCTGGAGTTTGGGTGAGTTTCCACTCTGGGGAAAGAAGCTTGGTAACAGACCAGGCAGGAAGCAAGTACCCATTAAGGAAGGGATTAGTAACCCCTAATCTGCACTTTCAGAGACTAAGAACTTTACTGCACTCTCCAATTAAATCATAAATCACAGAGATTGCCAGAAGGGAGGAGAGGAAGGACACAAAACTCACTGTGACATAGGGGATGTTTCCTTGTGGCTAAAACACAAGGTGGCCACTGCAGGGGAGGTATTTCCTCCTCAAGTACTTAATGCCTGCACTTCTTAGCATCCCACAGTCTCCCCTGCCAATCCATAGCAAGGCTGAGGGCAGAAAAAAGCGGAACCTGCAGGATGGTCTCGGGGGGAAGGGAAAGGTAAAGGGTCCCTCACAAGGCTGAGGCTCCACCTGTGAGAGCCTGGCTTGTTAGGCCAGGATCCCCCCTCCCGAGTCCCCTGCCTCCTGGGAAAGGGTACAATGCCAAGCCACGTTTGTCTCCACTTCCCAGCCCTGGTGCACAGAAGAGCCTTGTTCAAGCGCTTATCTGGCCCCAGGCTGGGGAGGGGCCAGTACCTTTCTGCCCTGGCATGGCACACTGCCGGGCTCATTAGGAGCTGCCTGACAGGAGAAACTTTCCTGGCACAGGTAAAGAGGGAAAACTTTCACCGCAGCCCACGGCAAACAAAGCAGTTCAAACAACAGCCTGTTTGCCTCGAGATCCCTCTGGTCCTGGTGCCTGTGCTGGGAGGAGGCAGCAGGCTCAGGCCTCCCTCCTGCTCACTGCTGGCGCCTCGGCACAACAGGGACAACCTGGGAATCACGGGGGCAGGAGCTCCGGGGGCTGCAGCACCCGACAGCTCCCCAGCACCGGGCGCAGAGCAGCCGGCAGCAGAGTGGGAATGGGAGTGCTGCGCAAAGGCCTCATGCTTCCAGAGAGCAGGAAGGGGGGCGCGCAGGGGCAGCCTGTCACTCCAGCGGCCCCCTCTTCCCTTGTTCCTATTCTTTGGAATTCCTCTCTTCTGTTTGCTTTGTTTCAGCCCTCAATGAACAGGAAGAAAAGGGAAGGGGCCTTGACAAATCCGATCAAGGCGCAGACAGGCTGAGGCCCCCTCCTGCTGGCGTGCCAGACCCTGCACTAATGAGGGGCAGCAGAGGCAGCCACTGGCAAGAGCAGCCCCACAGAAGCCCTTGGTGCAAGAGACACATGGAAGAGAAAAACACCAGGGCAGAACCTCATTAGGACAGACTCAGCCTTCAGAAGGGGCCTACCCATTTGCCCCAGCCCAGAGAGCTTCCTCCAGCTTCTCAGCCCAGGTTCAAGCCCCCTCCCATCTATTACACTAGAAAGAGGCAACAGACAACAGAGTTTGAGGAGAAGGACCCCGTTGCAAGGCCTCCTGCCACACAGTTATGCACCCTTTACCAATGTGGGGATACAGGCACCGAGACAGCATGGGAATGAGGACACATAACCTGCCAAGTAGACAAGCAAGACAACCAACCTTTGGAGGCTGCCAATGCTGCAAGGGTACCAGAGAGGAGCCAAAGACGATGAAGGCAAGGCCTGGTAGCGATGCGAGGACCGCTCTCTAGCTGGGGCTTCTCATCTCCACGGGCAGAGAGCACATCCCAGACGTACTTGGGCTTTTGCAGCTTGCTGCCACCTGAAACCCAAAAGACAAGCAATCATTTGAAAAAGCTGCTGCTCAAAACAGCTCTGGAGGGCAGGTGTGAGCACAGCCCAGCAGCACTGCCTGGGCGCAGTACCTGCCCCCTGCCTTCTGCAAAGCCCACCTCAGCATCACCCCAGGCTACCTGCCCATGGGGCAGCTTCAGTGTAAGGCATGTCCCCAGTTCCAACCTGGCACTCGGTCCTGCAACACATTCCCCAGCCAAGCGAGAGGAACCATGCACGTGTCCCACGACGTGAGGACACAGCCACAGCACTGCACCACAGCGCACGCGGGTCCTCTTTCCAGCTCTTTGGCAGGAAGAGGCACCGGGGAAGGACGACACTGCCCTGGCCCCCTCCCAAGGGATAGCAGCAGCAGCAAGTGTTCAGCTCCTATGCCAGTGAAGCGACAGACTATCCAGTGCAGTAACCCGAGCCTTGGAAACACCCTGCCCAGCCCCGGGAAGGGAGTTGAGAGAGCCTGTCCAGCTAGACACACAGCAGGCAGAGCGAAGGGGCAGATGAAGCCAGCAAAGGGGCAGATCCCATTGCAGGGAGCAGAGCTGCCCGTGGCGCCCATCGCATGTGCCCGTCGCGCCCAGCACCTCTGCTCCCGCCCCGGCTGGCATGGTAAGCCCTCTGCCAAGGGGTACAGGCATCATTGTGCCCTCGGTGCCGAGGAACTCCCAGCCAGAGGTGCAGAGCCAGGGAGCAGTTTGCTCCACATCACGCATGAAGGCTGCAGCAAAACAGGACAAGGAGCAAGCGTGACTTAACCCAAGTCTGTTCACATATTGCAGAAGTGCATGGGGGGCAAGACCCTCAGATCAAACCAAAGCAAAAAGCCCCCCAAAACAAACACACACTACTGAAAATGTCTGTCTGGTCTGCCGTAGGTGGATACAAAACCTGAACAGAGAAGCACGCACTGCACTGGCCCTCACAAGCAGCCCTGCCACAGCACCAGTTGCACCCCTCCAGCCACAGTAAAACCTAGCTCAGCCTGGTGTGGCACAACATGAAACAAGGACAGCAACATCCATCTCAGCAAGGGCTTTTAATAAGACATCCTTCATAGCAGTTGCTACCTGAACAGTGAAATCCAGCTACTCCAAGGAAGCAGCACCATGATTGCTCAGCAAAATCCTCCTCTAGCAACAGCGACGGACGCTACTTCTGCTTCGCTAGTCTCCCACAGTATCTGGCTAGAAGAAGGCAGCTAGTGGCAGAGAGCATATATGGGCAGGAGGGAACACTATGGCATACATCAGGAAACAGGCAGCCCCTCTGCCTGCCCTGATCTGGCAGCTCCCACCTTGGACTGGGAGGGTTTGTAGGTAGGAATCCTCAAACACCTGGAAAGCAGGGGCAGGCATGTGAACTAGGATGCAGGATCTGTCTGGCCCTCATCCCCTCTGCAGCTGGAGAGGGTCATAACCCTCCCTCTGGCATCAGCAGGGCCCTGCAGTTCAGCAGGTAAGAGCCCAGCCCTGGGCACCCACCTGGAATGGAAAGCAGGGGGTGCCAGCTGGGAGGCCGAGCGCCTTCGATGCCAAGGAGCTGTCACTCTCGGCACAGCTCGCGGAGCCCGGCCCGTGCCCGCTGCCCGGGGCGGCACTGTGCAGCTCTGCCAGCAGGGCCCTGGGCAGGCAAGCTCCCCACCAACACGCAGGGCAGAGTCATCCCCAGGCTGGAGCCTGCGGCCACCTGCCCCCTCGGCCAGCTGGCAGTGTTTGCACAGCGCCAGGCGCGGGGCCTGCAGCCCTGCTGGGACCCATCGCTGCGTCACCCACCAGCCAGCACAGGGAAACGGGAGGCAGGAGACTTGCAGCAGGGGCGACAGAGAGTCGTTACAGCAGCACTGTCCCCCTCAGTACCCGGGAACCAGCTGAGTGCCTCCCTTGAAGTGATTCCTCCCTTAATCCAAGGCAGAGAACTGCATGTCCAGAAGTTTTTTCCAGCTGCATCACACAGTTATTAAAAGATATTGCCTCTCTCTAAGCCTTTAACAGGCAATTTTGGGATCCTGCAGGATGGGCTGCACCCTGGTAATGAATCAGAGAACACAGTTATCCAAGCAACAGTGTGGAGCTCTAAATGGCTTTCTGGAAAAGGCGCCTGGATGCAGAAGGCCGTGCTCATATAGCAGGCACTCGCTCACAGAAAGCGAAACCCAAGCCCTCTCCCCCAGGCTGGAAGGGTAACGGCACCACAACAGGGGACAGCAACAAAAGCCCTCAAGTGGCAAGGACTATTAAAGCCCCTGCTTCAGCCTGCCCGGCTTGGGCTGCCTGCCCCTCGGACCACCACGCCAAGCAACAAGGCTGCCCACAGCACCTCAGGAACAGGAGCTCCAACACCAACACCCTCCAGGGGCTGTCTCTGCAGGGTGGCTTGGGGCTGGAGGTGCACACTGTCACCACCATGCTCACAGCAGAATGGGCTTCATTGCCCCCATCGCCCCATGTCCTCATCCCAGCACAGGTTTGAAGCTCTCCTGAAAGGTGCCAGCCTCGTGCGAGATACCACGAGTGAATCAGGCCTTCCATTCTAGACAGAGCTCATGTGTCAGGGACCAAAATACTCCCTGGGCACACATGAGCCCAGGTTATTTGGAGCTAGTCACAATTTATCCCTAGCTATTCCAAGGAGTTGGCTGAGCTCACCCAGAAGCCAAGAAGCCAAGACTGTCCTACCACAGGGCAGGAAGGGATGCTCTACGGAGACAGGGCCAGAAAGGCCACCTCATCCCACACCAGGGTCTCCAAACCACAGCAGGAAAATGGCATTTCCCTCTCTCCATGGGCTCACGGTGACAGACTCCTTCCCTCATGGCAGGCTACGTCCAGCAGGATAACATGTCTGGGGAGCACATCACCTTTCCCCATCGTTGCCAACCTCTCAAGATGCAGCTCAACGTCCGTGCACTGCATATTCCTATAGGAATTCCTCCCCAAGTCTAAGGCAGGGGGTATCCCCTGTGCCAGCCCATTGGGAGGCCTGCACCTTGCTCAGCATGTGGCAGTGCCCTGCCCGGGGCCAGGCTGCCCAAGAGCGGCCCTGTGGATCCAAGCAGCAGCGAGGGACAAGCTGCTGGCAGTGATGCATGCTAGGGCTCAGCGCTGTGTCCCCTCGCTCCTGTGCTTTGCTGCTTTTCGTGCACCCAGCACTGAGGCTGCAGCCCTCAGCACAGCCTGGGAATCATTTGGCCTCAGCTCCTGCCGGGGATTTCCAGTAAGCAGCAGCCCTCAGCAGCCACGCTGACAGTAAGTGCTGCGAAAGGCACCGCTCAGAGACCTTTCCAGCTATACGGAGAGGGAAATTGGCCCCTTAGCCCAGTTTTGCCTCCTAGCACCGCAGCAAGAGGTAGTTTCAGTCTTGCCCAGCCTCATGTGCTGTCAGCTGCTCTGAGTGCTCCCTTGGAGCACATTTACCATAAAAAGCACAAGGTTGTTACTCAAACTGTCCTCCAACCTCACTCACTGCAGGAGGGAGATTAACAAAAATAAATAAATAAATAAATAAATAAATAAAAGGAGAAGCGACAGACAGTGGCTGGGAAGGGAGGCAGGGACAAGGAGCAGGCAGCTGCCAAGAAGCCTCTCAAGGGGGGACCGAGGAGCACTATCTAGAGCAGCCCAAGGAGCTGGTGCGCGACGGCGCTTCACCTCTGGCTGCAGCCAAGGTGTCCCCGGCCGTGCCCTCGGCGGCCGCCTCTCGGGTTGCTGCCTGGCACGGACGGGGCCTCTCGGCAGGCGCCAGGGCCGCTGCAGCGGCCGCACTGGATATGCCCCTCGGGTCAGGCGCAGCCGCCCGGCGCCCGCGCGCACAGGAGGCTCCAGGCTGAAGAGGAAGGTCGGGCCCAATCCCTCTGAGCCTGACTCAGAAAGGTTTGCTCAGCGCCACGCTGCTTGCCAGCATGATCCCATGCCCCTTGTGAACTCAGCCCGCTGGAAAGGAGCCCACAGGGCAGGTGGAAGAAGAGGGGAGACGGGAAAGGACAGAGTGCCTGCCCGTGCCCCTGTGATTGCTGCGGGGAGCGGCGGGAGGAGCCGCGGGCCGGGGCGCCCTCTGCGCCGGCGGGACCTGCCAGAGCCCTCGGGACGCCCTCCCCACGCAGCTCGGTGCCAAGAGGTGCAGCACCACGCGCAGCCCCGCGCACATGCAGCGCCGCAGCCCTCACAGCCCACGTGCAGCCCCGCAAGGCGCGGCGCTCTGCGCGAGTGACGGGGCCACACGAGCAGCCCGCACCGCTAGCGCGAGGACCAGGAGGCGCCGGTGCCTCTCACCACCGCGCAGACCTGGTCGCCTCTCACAGCCTGTGTCCGCCCCGCGCCCCCTCCTCCTGCCCCGGGTCCCCCGTGTCCCCTCCGCGGGCACGGACATGGGGGTGCCTCAGGGGAGGCCAAGCTGGCGCCGGGCGGCCCTGCTCCACGGCGCCCTCCACCTCCACGGACGCAGCCCTTGCCAGAAGCACGAGGGTGGTTCTGGGATGTCTGCCCAGCACGGATCCAAACGCAGTCCCGGACACAGGCCAGAGCTAACCCCTAGCAGGGGGAGAGGCTTTCCCAGCTGGCAACACCAACACATGTCCAGGCTCCACTGTGGCACGGTCTGGCACACACCCCTTCAGAAGTCTATCTTCAACAGCACCGACAGAGAGCTGCTGTGAGATTTGACAGCCCTCCAAGGGGCCCGACGGCTACTGCTGGGGGATGCCGGCTCTGGGACCCTCGAGCGCCTCCCGGGAGGCCCCGGGCACACGGCCTCGCGCCCCGGGACCCTCGAGCGCCTCCCGGGAGGCCCCGGGCACACGGCCTCGCGCCCCGGGACGCGGCAGCCCCGGGGCCGGCCCGGGGCTCCGGCCCCCAGCGCGGGAAGGGCGCGGGCAGCCCCGAGGGGAGCAGGGCACCCCCGGGCACGTTACGGGGGGGACAGAGGGCCCCTCCGCGCCCACCCCCGCGCAGGGGCGGCCTGGCCCG